GGAGTATATTATCATGTATCCTCAGTATACAGATATTTCCAAAAGTTATGATTAATGAAAATTGCTGTCCTGGTTCAGACTGGAATACAGTTCATGATTGTTTTGGTAGCTGGAGGAGTGCTGCAGCACACAGAGACCCCAGGGGCTCCCCAGGTCCCAGTGCCCTCACCTGTGTGCGGGGGTGGGGGGAGCACAGCTGGAGGGCTGGGCCCGGATTGGCTGATATTCCATGTCACGTGACACTGTGCTCACTATATAAAGGCAGGAGTGGGCCAGGAAGGGCTCTTAATTCTGGGAGTGTGGCTGTGGTGCCTTTGTGTTTGGGATCGCTGGCTGGGAGTGTGCAGGTGGTAGGCAGCTGTATTGTACGTTAGCCATTTATACTGTCACTGTATTATTCTATTACTGTTATTAAGCTGTTTTATTCTCAACCGCGAGTCTCCCTTTGCCCCTCTGATTCCCTCCCTATTCCCAAGTGGGGGGAGGGTGGGTGAGCAACTGCGTGGCATTTAGCTGCTGACCAGGCTCAAACCATGACAATTGCAATAGTTTACAATGGCTTTATTATATGTGCAAAAGCAAGAGGAAGAGTGGTTAGTCACTAGGACAAGATTGTGATTCCAAGACCCTGTGAGAAATTTGTCAATGAACAAAGAAAAGGAAGTTCTCCTTTGAGTAGAGTCCTCTCCGTAAACATGATTCCATTAAACTGAGTACATGTTGAATGTAAACACCTTAAATACAAAAAATGCTCCCTCTAGATATCTATGTCCACACTGCAGAATAGATCAGGCTTTTACATAGGTACTGATCTCAACAGGCCTGATACTCATCTAACAAGTCCCTCACTTCAGTCTAACAATGTTTAAGATTTAATTTTTTTTTTTTTAATTGTCTTGGAAGTACCTATTACACTTTAAGTTTTACGTTCTCTCTGGTCAAAAGCTCTCCCAGTCCAAAAACAAATTAATTGAGAGTTCAGGCAGTGCTCCTATGCCTCTCCGTGATGGCCAGTAGAGACTATTGTGTAATGTAATTTCCTACATCACAAAGACCCCCAGACATCCAATACGCATAGAAGCACGTATAGCACTGATGAACCCTGAGATATCTTCAACAAGTTATGGAAACACCATAAACTTGCATGGCACAGCAGCTAATTGAAAAGCCCTGATTATTTAGGAACTTATTCACTCCAGCTGAGAACATAGTGATTGTGCTACTTTGAGAGCTATCTTGGTCACTTTAGAGATCTTCATAGAAGGCTCAATTGTATGAAGCAGACACAGATTATAACTTCAGATGAATCAGTGGGATGTCTTTCCCTGAGCCCAGGGAGAGGTTGACCAGGCTGAGAAATGGTTATAATTTGTTAAATATCCTTGGTATGAGCTTTAACCTCATCACTTGATCAAATGAAAATTGATTTTCCCTAGAACAAGAATAGACATTTCTCCTACCAAGAATCCGTCTGACCAAAGTACAGCTTTCTAACCCTACACACTCTGGTACTACAGAAATTCACAGAAAGTCGTGTCTACTATTTTATAATAGGAGCCCTCATCTCCTTCTTTTTGTTATTGGAGGGAGGAGGGGCAGGAAAACCAAACAAATATGTTTATTTTTTGAAGTCTTCCAAAACCATGAAGACTACAGACTTGATCCAAACAATTCTGGAGTTAGACGAAATAATAAGTCACAATCAAAACTTAAAATTCAGTCTGACTGTCAAGTACTTTTGAAGCTTGAGCAACCGATAAGTTCTGTAAATAAAAGTGATAGGCTTTTATAGCCTATAGTTTTTTATAGATAGCATGCTGGTTTTAATGTCTTGTAGTCTCCATATTTCCAAGATTGTGGTTTGTTTCAGAAGAGATCTGACCAAACGTTAATAGACAGCAAGTAGAAAAAAAAAAAAAAAAAAAAAGCTGTAATTCAGAAGTGGGAAAGAGACAATAGACTGTAAACAAGAAGAAAGAAGGAGAGACTGCATGGCTCACTCACACCTCGCAAGGCTTTGCATTCTCCCTTGCAAGCGAGAGAGCTAATTAAAACCTTGTGGTAAGAGAAAGACATCATGCAATTTAGGTCAAACAAATGGCTTTGATACAGGGTGATATTTTAAATGGAAAAAAAAACCCTTTCATGCTTTTAATCCTAGGATTATAAGTACATATTGACCACCTTGCGGATACCCTCTGAGATAACTTATTATTTGCTCGAAGTGTGCAATAGATTTTGGCTTACAAAAAGAAACTTACCTACAGTATTCACAGACTAATGTTTTTTTCTCAGCGTGAATGTCACTGTGGTATATTTTAAGTATAGCTCGTAGCACTACATATTATTATGTTTGCCCAGCAGTTCTGATTATAAAACTGTTTTAGCAGCTTGTAAGTTTGCCAAATATTAACTACATAAACTAACATTTTCCTCAGGGAAAAGAAGAGTGACGGTGTCAATCTCTTGGCTTTTCATTGTATATTTTACTATGTGGTCTTTGCATGGATGTGCCAGGAAAAATGGTTGATACGTTAACTCATTATTTTGCTCAAATTAAAAATCCTCTGTAACTAATTTCCCTTTGAAATACTCTACTGCCCCTGCAGTGTAGATTAAACAGTCAACACATCTATTCAAAGATACACTTTTTACAACTTGGTGTTTAATGAATTTTAGCCTGCAAAGCACCTGCAGAGATTTTATCAGTGAAATCCCTGAGAACCTACATACAGGTGTATTCCAACCCAGACAGCAACGATCCTCAAGAATGTCACACCTCCTCTGCAGCCAAAGCTCAGATGTGCTGTGGTCTCTCAAGTGATCTCTACACCCTTGTGGTCTAAACAGTGGGAGAAAGAGGAGATGAAAACTTAATGAACAACAAAGGACAGGAGATTTGGATATGGAAGTAGAAGATAACAGACTGAAAATGTCAGGCAAAGAACAGAGAGAGGAGACTGAAAGGGGAGGAGAAGTAGAAAAAGCATACAGGAGAGAACTACAGGTCTGGGGCTGAAAACTAGTGATAGAGGGTAAGGTGAGAAGGGGGAAGAAAAATACCTATGGAAGAGATGCAGCAAGAGTACTGTGACAAATTGGCCACACACACCTGGACAGAATGTTTTGGAAATGCTAAGGCAAACTAAAAAGTCCAGAGAGAGGTGCTAAACTGTAAAAACTTGAGGACAGAGATCCTAAAATTAGAGGTAAGAAACCAGTGGAAGGGAGAAATGCTGACTGGCGAGGCAGCAAAGGTAGAAACTGAGACTGAAACATAGAATATGTTGAGGAGAGATGAAAGATAGCCCACACAGCACAGTAGGAATAGGATGTGAAGTCCAATGGTGGATCAGAGGTATGATGCTGAATGAGGAGACAATGGGGAAAAAGACACAGCAAGTACAAAAGAGAACAGATCACACCTAGATCAGATTAATAAAATGGGCCCTCCTTCTTCTTAGCAGGGACTCCTCACCAAGCTTGGAAGGAGAGATATGATTTGCAAGCCTCATTGTTCTCTGTCAGCAGATATGCGTGAAATCCACCTACAAAAATGCCCAGCAGTAGTCCATGATGGGTAAACCTTAGGGTTCTTCAGAAAGCTCAAGTGATAGACATTTCTGTGTTGGTGAGATCCTAAGCTGGAAACCCATGTGCGTATCAATCTGATGTTTTTTGTTAGGATTTCAAAATTTTTTCAGTTTGGTTGGGAGTTTCCAAGACTAAAAGGTGGATCTAAAGCATCTGCCTTAACTTGTGTTGCAATATGAAGCACTCAAATATTAGGAAAAGTTGGAACTTAAATAATCTTTGCAATCTTTATTTATGTTCCTCATGTACATACAGTGATACAGCTCTTCCTTCTATAGGACAGAGGTGATCTCATCTAAACTGAAGCTTCCATAATTTAATCATAGACATCTGAGATTGTCATCTAGCCTTCTCTTTTTGTCAGTAAAGAGAAAATGTCTTCTGGGACAGGATTTATGAGACATATGGATGTCTGGGTAAAAATTCATTAAGGTCAAAGGAATACATTAATATGTAGTGTTAAATCTGAGAAACTTAACGCCTGATTTTTCTGTGTTTCTTAATGGCTTTGAAACACAGCTACTATTTGTTTCAGGAATCATTTGGGGATTGACTTCTGAAAATCAAATCTCATGGCTTCATATTCAGTTCCCCAGTACCAAAAGCTTTTGTTGGTTGATGGAATAACTTCTTTTCCTGATGTATCAGCAAAATTTCCCTTAATTATACAGTCCTACATCAACACAGAGATCCATCAGTTCACAGAAGGAGCCATGGGACTTCTGCAGGGATAGGGAGGGGGAAATGTCTGATCATGTGGTTGCATAATGGATGATGATGTATACACACAAAGTTGTACAGGCAGCACAATCCTGATATTTTCTGAATTGTAACCTTATTTTTCTGCAATCTCAGATATGTTTTTACCTTCTCTGAATGGAATATATAACACAGAAGTTTCTTCTCAATGACAGAAGAATTGTAAATTCTTCCCTGAAATGCACATTGGGTTAAATTGGAACAGCTGAATAAAAGTAGTTTTCATTCTCATCTATGTTTCCTCTAACCAAAAGCTGCCTCATTTCAGGAAATACGTGTCAGAAAAATAGTCTTCCTTGTTAATAGAGAGCAGAATTTTCCACTCTCATGAATTGTTTCTTCCTGGATACGGTATTTGACAAACATAACATAAAAGCTCTTGCTTTGGGTGGAAGTGTTGTAACAATGGTAAGTCTTATGTCTGATACTGCAAAGCTGATTAAATATTAGCAATGAGCAAGTGCTGCAACATCAAGAGAGTAAATGGAAGTATGTTTATGTTATTAATTTCTCTCTTAGTAACAACTGCAGAGTTTAATTCCCCCAAATCTTTTTACTATGCTGGGATGAAATGATCGTAATGCTTAGATGATGCACACTGCCCACTTCACTTTCTAGTTATTGCAGTCTAAGGTGCATTTTCTTACCATAGCAAGTTGGTCCACTCCACTTGCAGTTCGTGCTAATGTTACGAGATCTTCTTGCATCTTATCTACCCATGACTTTATCCTATAGAAACCAAAAAGAAAACAGAGACATCCAATCAGACCACTGGTAAATGGAAATTGCATAAAATTATATAGCACAAGAAAAAGGCAAAAAGTCAGAATATGTTGATAAAATTTAATATAAAATGTACAAGACTTGTCTTTGGTTGCTAAAAAGTAGTAAGTTTGGAATGGACCAAAATATTCAAGCTACACCCTGATTGTGTTCTCTTTCTCTGATTCAAATCTAAGCCACTTGCTTTTTTCTTTCTTTTACTTTTCATCAGGTGGAGTTTGCTGGTGCTTTCCAGGACAGACACTGTCTTCACCACGAGGTACATCACTGTAGCTGCCTCTTGTTGACAGGTACTGAGGTTGGTAGGTTGGTTCTAAATGTGATAGAGCCTAACTTACCTTCTTTTTTTCCTTTTTTTTTTTTTTTTTCATAGATCCTCTACCCAGCCTTGATGGCCTAATTCTTCTCATAGTTTTCTGTGGTGGCCACCAAACAAAGCCAGCTGTAAACCAAGCATGCCATTGTATCTATATACTAGCTTTCACAAAGATCACCACAACAAGCTGGTACACTGCCTGCCAGGACAACCGGCCTGATCTGCAGCTCACTCCCAGCAGTAGTCCCTCTCCCAACAGATAGTACAAGAAGAGAAAAACAGCAACTGGGAACAGGCTGACAAACCAGAATAAATGTTCTGGCCTGTAGACCCTCTCCAGATACTCCAAAGAAGCAGCAGCGGGACAGGCAGCAGTGGGCATAGGTGGCACAAGCTGTTTTGGCAACACACGCCTGCTCCTCAATGCTGTTTTTCACCAGGGAATATGCAGCAATTTGTTACTGTGCATGCTTAGCTCCCTGAGCCTAGTAAACCTGACTCTTTGGAAGAGCAATGGATCCAATACAGTTTTTATGGTTCTGTGCCATGACACATTTTGTAGTAGGAAAGGAGCCTCACATTTATTCCAGTGAGGTCCACGTTCAGAAGGTTATGTTACTTGCCTAGCCAAAAAGTTTGATCTCCAACTCATCTATTATATCATCCCTGTCATTATCACAGCTCGCTGCTCTGAAACGTGGAACAGATAAATATATTTATCCTACGCACTTTCTAGCCTTAATCTGATACCCAAGAAATGACTGTTTGGATTATTCATGCAAATAGGAAAGACAGGAGAAAGCAAGACTCCATATTTGCTGCATTATGGAAAATTTGGAAGACTAAGAAAAAACATGAAGGACTGATTTTACAGCTCTTTTCCACGGTCATTAATACATATTTTTGTTGAACCACAATCAATATCTTAAAAGGGCACAATCTGTATTATGGAGTTGCAACTTGTCTACTTTTATTAAAGGATCATTCATCATGCTTTAGAAGTGATTACTCATCCAAGCACAAAAGACTTAGGGCTTTGATATCTAACATGAAGGACCTTCTGGCAGCCCAAAATAATATGTGCTAAGGTAGGAATGGAAACTACCTAGCCAGGAAGTTACTGAGCTTTACAGAAGTGCCAAATCTAAGATAAATCCCTCTTCTCAATCAATAATGGGTCACTCTGTAATCAGTACACTGTCTCTCATGAATCTTATTTGAATCCTATTTCCCACAATCAGTATACTCTGACAAAGCAAACAAGAACTTTTTGAAGGTTTAGTCCAAAGTGTGTTTGACATCTTCACAAAAAATCTGTAGCAGAAATTGAATTAACGAGTTGTCACCACAGTTTCTCATTAACCATAGCTTCTGCCCATGATACTACTGTTTTCATCCTCCCGCCAGCACCTAGCCTGGCTTATTTGACACTCTTATCTCTTGTGCAATATCCTTTATTTTCTGTTGTATCATATCTTTATTTTTCCCTTTCAAATCTTTGGATAAAAACAGTTATTTCATTCTCTCTGTACAGCACTTCCATTATTTCCTCACTGGGTGTTTCAGACATACAAAAATTACATCTTAAAACACCTTGATTTTTTTTTTTTTTTTAAAAAAAAAGGTAATTAAAATGTTTTAGACTGAAATTATTTCAGTACTCTTATTCACCACTGATCAATTTTAATTGATCTAGTTCCCAGGGGCTAGAAGGTTTCAGCAGATGACTGCCTACTTTTTAAAATCTTCTCAATGCACTCAACAAAAACTGACTTCTTGTCCAGATGGCAGAATGCTGAGTTATAACTCCAAAATTTTGGGAAGAAGACTATACTGATTGAATGAGTATGTATGCCAAATCAATAATGCAAGAGGAGACCTTATTACACAGGTTATGATTATCTATTATTATTGTTAATTACTATTAACAACTTTTTTATCTTGCAGATATTTTTTCTAATTTGGGCCAAGCTTTAAAAAAATCTTTTAAAAGACTGTAAAGTCAATGTTTCTAAATAAAATAGTTCTAAAGTCTTGACATGAGGAGCTCCACTGTATAAACTACTCACCAGATTCGCCATGAGGAAAAGGATGAGCAGAAAATTGTAGAAGTTGTAAAAAAAAGTGTAGCATGAAATGTAAAAAATGCTTACAGGGACAAACCCTTTGGGACTTAAAAAGGCCTGATGCGTACTAGAACAGTTGTTAAGATTTCAGTCATCTCCCAGATGATCAGTAATAAAGTGCTAATAAATTAGTAAGAGTAAACCTCTTCACTAGCAATAGAGCCTTTTAATGGGAAACTATAGGAGTGCATATTGGAAGAAGGGCTTGAGTAAGTGTCTTACTGATATGTCATTTCCAGAGGTACTCGCCACATATTGTGGCATTAGAAGAGGATTTACCTCAAAAAGGGTCTACCTCTTAACTTGGTACATCCCCACTCTCCTCATAAATCCTCAGAAAGTCAGAGAGTGGTAGCAGAATGAGTAAAAAGACTGAAGGCTCCATGAGTTTGTCCTCCAGTGCCCCACCAGAACTATCTGTTGCAGGGCTTAATTTCTCATTAAATACTTCCAAAACAAAGCATGCTAAGGGAAAGACCTCAGATGGACATGGTTTTTTAACAGATTTTTCTTGACACTTCTTACCCTTTGTGTGATTTGACCAATCTTCAGGCTATTTTGCTGTTCTTCAGTGAATGTTTGCTGCACCTTTTGAGTCACTTTGCTACCTGTCTCCATGACAAACAACAAGTAGACACTTTCAGGTTAGTGTTGATGCTTTCCATGGAGGTTCAACAGAGGCTAATAGGTGCAACAGATCAACAGAGTCATGGTGTATATTTGCTTTCGCCTTTTGCACTGTATCACCAAGATCGTTCTCACTGCCTTATTTCTTTATTCTTTCACGTCCTACATCCCTAACATGGCCACTTGAAAGTGATATATGTTGGGATTTAAGGGCTAATTACATTGTCATTGACTATTATAACTGATTCCATTGTTGTTTTAATGCTCCCAAACCTTCCCTTCTATACTTTGCATTCTGAAATCTGATGTAAAATAAATTAACTTCCTGGTTTAGATCTCCACAAATCCCCCATATTATATAAACATTTAGTTCTGTATAGAAATCAGTTTGTTAAAAATCACCTTTTATGGTGTATTATGTTTACCATGGCTTTAAGCCCATCGTGTTTCTGTGAGAACAGTACCAACTCATAAGCACAAATACAAACAAAACCAAAAAAAAGCTATCATCTATTTTTGAGTAGTTTCTATTTTTTCAATGTGAAAGAATGAGGTATATAAAAAACTGAAATCCATTACTCAAAAGTGTTCTCTCAAAAGCATTTTCAAAAGCATAAAATAAATAATTGAACACACTGCCATTTTTTTATGATCCATTTCAGTTATAAAAATTCTAGAGTTTTTTTTAAGAGGAGTCGATAGAAAAAAATCAGGGAGGAATGATTTTTAAATTGACATTTTTCATTTCCTACTGCTTTGTATTTTTACTGGATATAATCATCTGTGCTAAAAGGAAACTGGAATAATGAGAACATACATTAGTCAGTTAAACTTGAAATTTTGGAGGAAGTTACCTTTAAAAACATGGATCACTTATTACTACTATTACTTGTAAATGAAATACGGATCATTTTCTTCTTTCATTTGCAAAAATATTCTTGATTTTTCAATAAATACTTCTTATAAATTGTCTCAAATTCCTGCCTCCACACAATTAGCCCACATCTTGCCTTTTGAAGTTAGTCTTCCAGACCAGTTTTTGTTTTCCTTTTTTGTTTTAATTTGCAATTGAACTAGGCTTCTGCTTCAGTCAGTGGAAAAAGGCATCTCCAGAGCTGACCCATTCCATCCTCAGCCAGGTGAGCTGAACTACCTATCTCCTATATTGCTTCCAGTGGAGCCCTAGACAACTTTGGCTCCTAGTTCAGGTTCTCCAGCGTAACTAGGCTACCAGCTTGACTTTTAGGCAGGTTAGGGTAGACAGCATCAGTTTCTAAACTGGAATAGGAAGAAGTCCAACTTCATTCTAATTTAATGGCAATTTCTCTCCTCAGCTGTAAATAAAATATAAATAATGACATTTCTTTTTACCTTAAAAGTTTATTTTCTTCCATATTCATCTTAGCCTATTAGACCTTCTGTAGTGGAAACTATCCTTTTCTTACTTGCCTGTACAACAGTTAATGCAGCAGGGTCCAACATAATAACAAGTAATAACTTCAGAAAGGTTTTTCTAGATTACTATCAAAAGTACAGATGATAAAATGGCATTCCACAACTCTGAAGAAGCTCAATATAATTACTCTTGCCTTTCCAAAAGAATTTAAATAACATAATTAGTAGTATTTATAAAATCTAAAGTCAGTATTTCTGCACCTCAATTCTCTCATCTTGACACCAGACAAAAGTGTGTATTTGAGACAATTCATGCTTCTCATAGACTGCTTTCCAGAAACAGACACAATCACACCCTTTAGCTTTCATGGGAAAATTTGGCAGAATGTTTAAAATACAACTTTTTTTTTTTTTTCATTTAAGGAATCACATTATCTCTTATTAAAAAAAAAAAAAATAATGTGCCTTTAAAAAAAATGAAG